TGCGGCCCTTTGTGGCTCGCAGGAGCCGTGTCAGGAGGACGGTGCCCCAGTCTGGTACCCCCCGGGTGGGATCCGGTGCCCCCACCAAAGCCCAGAGCGAACGGCACATCCCCCACCAGTGACCGTGACGGGAATGCATTGGGCCGCCAAGACCACACCAGCACACCTGTGACGAGTCACCTTTATTCGGCCACTGGCCAGTTTTTGCGTGAAATTACACACAGCAGAAGTGCCCCCAACTGTCACACACCTTCTCCCGCCATCGTACATTTATTAGCGATAAGCTTCTTGCTTTCTTCATTGATTCGTAAAAGAAAATCATCCATTTCTTCTCTATTTGCATTAAAATACCCTAAATTTTAATACAAAAAAATACTAAAAACATTTAATAGATAAAGTGTACAAAATCAGAGCACTCATTTTTTTCTGAAGAGAAAGGAAAAATCTCCTTCAAATCCCAAGAAGTTACATCCGTTGATTGGGAAACAGCCGCCTGCAGGAAGGGGGAGCTTTGTTGCGGGAGCGCCTTCAAATCGAGTAACTATGGAGCATTTCCACTGTCCGAGCAGTGTCCCCCTGCTGCCACCACCCCCCAGCACAGCCGCGGGGCCTCGGCTGGGACAGGGCGAACGAGGGACGCTGCAAGTGCACCGCAGCCGGCAGGAGAAGGTGGGAGTCCAGCGCTCGGTGCAAGAGCATGCTTGCTTTTGGCCGGGGAGAGGAGGCACGGGTGTTCCTACCGCAAGAAGCTGTGTGCACACCGAGGAATCTGCCTGCAGGTAACGCCTTTCAGCAGACTGGTATTTCACCTTGTTCTCACTGTCTTGATTTTTAGCATTCAGAAATTCATATGCAGTCAGTCATTCCTTTTCCTATGCCTGCTTTCCCCAGCCTGCTCTCTCCTCTTACACCTGAGGAACCGGGTAAGATGCACAAGCAGCAAGACCACACATATTCTTGCCACGTTCAATAAGGAAGTACCTAAAAAGAGAAAGAAATGTGTATGAGTGAGCATTCCCTTCTCTGGCAGCATCAGCACGACAGATACAGCGTAAGGTGACTGCATTTACAATGTGCAAGCTCCTTTCTCACGCCAGCACAAAGAGCAAATACCGGTGACAGAGCAGTTAGCCAGGCAATGCAGTTTCCCGTCCCCCTTATATCACAAACTGGCAGAGCTAGCACCCGACTCTAAAAAAATTTCACTTGCAGCTGGAAATACTTGCAGAGCTGGAGTGAAAACTCACTCCCAGCACAACCTGTTCTCCCCTGGCCACGTAGTGCTCTCCTGGCACCAGGCGAACCAGCAGTGCAGCGGCTGCACACGCGCTGGCCGAGCCCCTGGTGACAACGGCAGCGCTACTGATCTAAGGGTCTGCTCTAACCAGTCACCCCAGGACTGGTTTGTAGAGCCATGTCTCCTTCACTGCCCAGGCTGGGATGATTTCCCCTGCCTCTTCCCAGAGCATGAAAGAGCTGCGAAATTTCAGCTCAATAGTGTAAGGGCAACCTGGGGGCTGATGAGAGTGGGTGGAAGCCCTCCCCCACGACTGTCCTTTTACCAGGCACAGGGAGACCGTGGTGGGTCCGGTAGTGTCGGGACCTCCTTACCCATCCATGCCCCATAGCGAGCCCCAGGAGTTCTTCACAATCCAGTAAGGAGTCCCATTTTCTTCTCCATACCCCACAGCGAGGACAGCATGGTTCACCTTGTCAGGAGTGTGCTCACATCGTGGGCTGCAAAAAGGGAAAAATAATGCAGATTTGTTACATGAAAAACACAGCCCATAATTAATCATGGATTAGCCGGCATTCTTGATTGCTCTCCAACTGCAAAAAGAATTAATGGATACTCTGAACCTCCAGTTGCAGAGAGCGGGGAGGGAAGCCAAGAAAAGGAGATATTTACCAGCCATATCGGAAGTCAGAGCGATAGGCTACAGGGACCTTTGATCTGATCACCTGGTCCAGCCTTTTGTTCAGAATTAATATCAACATTGTCACACAAGAATGAGCTACAATGAAAAAAACCAAGCGAAGGAATTTTTCCAATGAAAACCAGAAGCTCTTAGTGCGTCCCAGTAATGGTTTATTCTGCCCCAAAGTTCAGGGGCACTGTTCTGTGTTTTGCACAGGGAACAGTGAGTTCCTCGGTCTCAATACACATTTCTTTGTATTTTTTCTGAATTTCCAGCCTTTAAATTGCACTTGATGAAAGTTGCTGCCTGTAGTGTAAAACAAGATAACACAAGGTACAAGCTCCCATCTCTAGAGCGCCTGGTTTTAAACATTTGGAAATGGCAAAGATCAATAATCCCCACAATGATTTACTTTTCTCGAATCTGTTAATAGTTGGTCTGGGGAGTGTAGGCTGAAAACACCGGGGCATCAGCTATGCCATACTCTCTGACTTTAAATCTACCGTAGACTATAAATCTACAGGATAACTTTACTTGGTGTGTTCCTCAAACTGGAATCCTATTACAAAGTGTCTTGCCCATCTGCCCGCTTTCGCACCTTACACCTGCCTGTTGCTGGTAGTTAACTTTGAGATCACTGTCTATTGCAACAGCAAAACCTCTTGAATTAGCGGTGCAGCCTACT